TTTTCAAAGTAAATGGATTTCGTTTAGTTTTTCTGTCGCTACAAAATGATTTATTCAAAACAAGCTTCTAATATAACATCACAGAGTAAATATCTTCGTGATCGTTCAATCACGATAACTGCTGATCATAATAATTATAAAGTGATTTTTTTCCACTAATGAAACATTTTAATTTTCAAATTTGACAGTTTGTTTTATAGTGACAAAAATACTGAATGAAATCTCTATAGTTCGAAAAAAGTCATAAATTTTGCTGTACATAATTAGAACTCGAAAGTAGTAAATCATGATACAGAACTAATGAACAACAAGTTTTATTTAATGCGTTGACTATCAATTAACAATTTCTTATTTAAACTGGTTTGGGTTGTCGTTAGGAGAGAATTATGCGTTATTTGAAAGTTGATAAGACTTCAGGTGATCAATATAAACAAAAGGTGAGAAATAACGTTGATAAAAAGAAAATTAGAGCACAAAGAATATTATTTCTTTTCGAAATATAAACACATTCTCATTACACTAAGGACAAGTAGTACATGTGTTTCTCGTCAAAACAAGATCTGTTTTCACAAGAAAGACATGACCATATTCTGCTTTATCTTCAACAAAATCATCAATAATTGATAAAGAAGATACTTCAAATACAGCTAATCAAGAAATGTTGTCTAAGAAATTATAACTTGAATGATGACAAGGATACAACAATGCTAGAGCTCAACAGTAAATGTATAGAAGGATAAATTATTTCAAGAATTTCTCATTTTAAAAACATGTTGAATCTGATGGTGAAAGAAGTAGAAAATGTGATATTTGGGTGTGGGTGTGGGTGTGGGTGGGTGTGGGTGTGGTTGTGAAAGAATAAAAGATTCCCACACCCACACCCACACCTACACCCACACCCTTATTGTTTTGTTATTTTATTAAATAGAATCTTAATCCTTGTTAGTGTGAATATATTTTTATGCATTAAGTTAAATGAAATCGATCAAATGACTGATCGTCTTTCAAAAACTTATCCATTATGGCCTCATGAATATTCGTAAGAAAAAAACCAAAATTCATCTTAAAAAAATCGAATTATTAAATTCTTGATTAGATATCCAAAAGAAGAATATCAATGGTCTTTATTATTAAAAAGACAAGAAGAATATTATCAAGCGAAATTAACTGGTCTTCGTTCTGTCTTAATATCAACTCATAATGCGTTAAAAAAATGTTTGTCTCCATTTGACGAAAAACATAAATAAATAAAGAATTTTTCTTTTTTTTGTAACAGATAACAGATGCTTTAAATGAATTAACAAACGTAAGCAGCGGAACAAGTTCAAATGCACCTATTGATCATCTTCATTCACTCTAGTTTTATTTTGGTGCTAGTTTTTTTTTAAACCGCTGTTTTTATTTCTTAGCTTGCTCTGATATTGAACAGTCTTTATAAAGTTTTTGTTCATACATTCAGAATATTTTGTTCATGTTTATGAAATGAATGCATTTACTTTATTTAGTATGATAGTAAAAATATCATAAATTGCATAATGACAGATATGTATTCTATTCTTGTGACATTGAACAATATAAATCTGATTTAAGAAAGAAGTGTTTAAAAAAGTTTCTCAACTACTACATGTCGCTGACTATTTTTTTTTTCAGATGAGAATATTAT